ACTGCTTAATACATTCCATTTGTTAACTACTCTGACACTGAACAAATTCTTTCTAATATCTCTGTGGCTCATTTGGGTACTAAGTTCCCCTTGTTCGTGTTCCACCCGTGTTAAAGAGCTGTCTGAGAGAGTTGCTCTGTCGATCAGTCTGTGCGGGGTCGAAGCTCGGCGATTATTAAAACACATGAATCTTCATTAGAACTTTATATATATCTATGGTAAAGTATTTAAAATGAACATATTTCTATCTTTCTCAACACATACAAAAACATTTGCGTTTATTAACGAATTTACGTGAAATAAGCATTGTTCTGAGAGAGAGTTACTCCGTTGCTCGATCTGTGCGGGATCGGAGCTCGCCGATTAGAAAAATACAAATATCTTCGCTTTAAATACAAATATGCCCATGGTTAGGCATTTAAAATGAAGATTATGTTTCTATCTTTCTTGAGACGTATAAAAATCTTACGTTTATTAACGATTCTGCGTGAAATAAGCATTGTTCTGAGATGAATATTGCGGATTTCCGGCTCTACGACCGATGAAAAATGCAACTTTTATACAACTACAAATATCTTTAGTTTTACTTTAAATTTTGTCCTGAAAGAGTTTTCATATATAGATCCAGTTTCTGCCGTTCTTCTGACATAAAAAGACCTTTGGTTTAATAAGTTATTAAGATGTTTTCAACAATATTACTAGGGCGTTCACCGATTCTAACATGGGCGACCCTTTTGGAAACGCAACACATGGGTTGACCTGATTGATATATGGGTCAGATTCCATTAAGGTTCGGAACATAAAATACTCTCCAAAATCAGATATTATGTACCTAACTCTGCTCTCATCTCTACATATTGTGCACTAATCTATCCCTATCTTAATTATGGTATCTGTGCATGGGGTTCAACCACTGCAAACCACCTCAAGTCCATCATCATCGAGCAAAAATCTGCTATCAGAATAGTAACAAATTCTACTTTCAGACAACACTCAGCCCCCTTGTTTAACTCCCTTAACATGCTAAACATAATCTCACTCCACAAATTTTCTTGTGTCAATTACATTAAAAAAAAGCCTGTTCTTAAACGCAAATCCTGCTCTGAAACTTTCCTTGGACAGATGTAATAGGACCCATTATCACCACACCAGAAATAAATATCTCTTTGATATCCCCAGAGTCAAACATAGTCTGTGTAAACACTCTATGCAAATAAACGGACCCAGTCTATGGAACTCACTCCCTAGTGAATTGAAAAGCTGTCCAACTTTTGCGTCATTCAAAAACAAAACTAAAAAGTACCTAATCTCATCTGCATAGTTTTTTTACCTTGTTGCTTTAAAATTGCACTGTATCTATTGCTACCCAATCTCCCTATCTTTATGTACCCAATCCGAACATCTTTACCATTGTGATCATTGCTGTCTTCTTATATGTGCTATCAGTCTGCTGAATGGTGTCTGTTAATCTTGTTTAAATTACCAATCAAGTTGTCAATGTAATCAACCAGAGCTTTAATATACCAATATGCTTTAATATACTTACTATTCTCTCTCATCTCATTTTTTTTCTTGCAATGTATCTGTTATTTTATTAATTCTGCTAGAATTTACCTACTTAAAATTATCTGTTAGATTAAGGACCTGCCCGAAACCCTGCGCGTACTAGTGGCTTTACAAGAGTGCAAATACTATGCTATGTATTCTCTCTAACCCAATGTACCTTCTTGTATATAAATAAATAAATAAATATATAAATATACATTGACTTGCATTCACTATGTAGTTATATATTTTTCAAGTATTTAAAATGGGTTATGAAAATACACACATTGGTACATTATTGCAAAGGTATAATACTATATACATTATATATATATATATATATATATATATATATATATATATATATATATATATATATATATATATATATGTATATATATATGTATATATATATGTATATATATATATATATGTATAAATATATATGTATATATATATATATATGTATAAATATATATGTATATATATATATATGTATATATATATATGTATATATATATATATGTCGTACCTAGTAGCCAGAACGCACTCCTGAGCCTACTATGCAAGGCCCGATTTGCCTAATAAGCCAAGTTTTCATGAAATAATTGCTTTTCGACTACTTAACCTAACCTAACCTAACTTTTTCAGCTACCTACCCTAACCTAACCTATAAAGTTAGATTAGGTTAGATTAGGTAGGGTTGGTTAGGTTCGGTCATATATCTACGTTAATTTTAACTCCAATTAAAAAAATTGACCTCATACATAATGAAATGGGTAGCTTTATCATTTCATAAGAAAAAAATTAGAGAAAATATATTAATTCAGGAAAACTTGGCTTATTAGGCAAATCGGGCCTTGCATCGTAGGCTGAGAAGTGCGTTCTGGCTACTAGGTACGACATATATATATATATATATATATATATATATATATATATATATATATATATATATATATATATATATATATATATATATATATATATATATATATATATATATATATATATATATATATATATATATATATATATATATATATATATATATAAATTGTTGCAAGTCGAGCAACAAATATTTTACATTGAACAACAAATGGGATTGGAAAAGCAGTATTGCCACCTCTGCTATACAGAAAAAAATAGACCCACCCCAGACACACCCTGTGGGTAGTAATGGACCCCCATACCGACACTATGAGGGGTAGTGCTGGACCCCATAATAACAGTATGAGCGGTAGTGGACACTATACAAACACTATGGGCGGTATTGGACACTTTGCAAACACTATGGGCGGTAGTTGACTTCATAGCGACCCTGTGGGCGGTAGTTGACTTCATAGCGACCCTGTGGGCGGTAGTTGACTTCATAGCGACCCTGTGGGCAGTAGTTGACTTCATAGCGACCCTGTGGGCGGTAGTTGACTTCATAGCGACCCTGTGGGCGGTAGTTGACTTCATAGCGACCCTGTGGGCGGTAGTTGACTTCATAGCGACCCTGTGGGCGATAGTGGACCCCCTACCATTCCAACCCTGTGGGCGGTAGTGGACCCCTACCGACCCTGTGGACGGTAGTGGACGCCCTACCGACCCTGTGGGCGGTAGTGGACGCCCTACCGACCCTGTGGGCGTTAGTGGACCCCCTACCGACCCTGTAGACCCCATATCGACCCTGTGGACGGTAGTGGACCCCCTGCCGACCCTGTGGGCGGCAGTGGACCCCCTACCATTCCAACCCTGTGGGCGGTAGTGGACCCCTACCGACCCTGTGGACGGTAGTGGACGCCCTACCGACCCTGTGGGCGGTAGTGGACCCCCTACCGACCCTGTAGACCCCATATCGACCCTGTGGACGGTAGTGGACCCCCTACCGACCCTGTGGGCGGCAGTGGACCCCCCTACCAACCCTGTGGGCGGCAGTGGACCCCCTACCGACCCTGTGGGCGGTAGTGGACCCCTACCGACCCTTGGACGGTAGTGGACGCCCTACCGACCCTGTGGGCGGTCGTGGACCCCATACCGACCCTGTGGGTGGCAGTGGACCCCATACCGACCCTGTGGGTGGCAGTGAACCCTATACCGACCCTGTGGGCGGTAGTGGACCCCATACCGACCCTGTGGGTGGCAGTGAACCCCATACCGACCCTGTGGGAGGTAGTGAACCCCCTACCGACCCTGTGGGCGGCAGTTGACCCCCTACCAACCCTGTGGGCGGTAGTGGACCCCCTACCGACCCTGTGGGCGGCAGTGGACCCTATATACTAATCCTGTGGGTGATACTGGACCCTATACTCATCCTGTGGGCGGCAATGGACGCCATACACATCCAGTGGGTGTTATTGGACCCCATACTTATTATGTGGGTGGTTGAAGCCCCATACCCATCCTGTGGGTGATAGTGGACGCCATACTCATCCTGTGGATGGTATTAAACCCCATACCCATCCTGTGGGTGGTTGTGAGCCCCATACCCATCCTGTGGGTGGTAGTGGACGCCATACACATCCAGTGGATGGTATTGGACCCCATACCCTTCCTGTGGGTGGAAGTGATCCCCATATCCATCCTGTGGGTGGATGTGATCCCTATACCCATCCTGCGGGTGGTATTGGACCCCTTACCCACCTAACAGGTGGTATTGAACCCTATACCCATCCAATATTTGGTATAGTAGACACCATACCATGCTGTTTGCAGTAGTTTACCCCATAAACATTCCAACGTAACATCGTTTTCTGTTAGCGTTCCTACAAAACATTCTTTAAAGATTTTTAAAGCACCAACTATGGTATAAAATATTGATTGGTGAAGCACTGTTATTCTATGTAATAATTTATAGTGCTTATTATAATTTACTAAGAACAACTAATATTTCTCAAAACAAAACTACGAACCTTCAATAGGATATAGCTGATCTGTAATATTATAATAGCATGGACAATAGAAGGTAAATTTCACAACCCATGTGGGACCTGAAAACTACAATTTTCATTATAATTGAACCAATCACGACTATTCTGCTATCTACGTTGATGGACGGGTACTGTGAGACGTAAATTGGTACATGAGGAAGAGTTTGGGCCTTGGAAAAAAAGGTAACTGGGAATATATCACTTATGTACTAAATCACATTCAACATATTGACTTTAAGCATTAAGTCATATATGTGCTGTCTTGTATGAGAACGGGTTGAAGAGGGACAATGCAACTAGGACAATAAGGAGCAGGGCAGCGCTCCATCAAGTGACCATGGGTTAAGCGAGTATGGCCAATACGCAACCTCGCCAGACCTGTTTCCCATCGCCGGTTACAGTGGTAGGAGGACGGCCACGAGGAAACACGGAGAGATAAAGATAAACGGACAGACCCAGGTAACCCCCACTAGCATCATATGGCTACCATATTTAGAAAAGTTAATACCACCAAAGGCACAATAATTGTAAACTACTATATGAAATTTATGATTTTATTATGTAAACAATTACTAAAATCTGATCTCAGTAATGAAAACACAATCCTGTTTATTAACTATCTTTTAAAAGTCAAAAATCACAGTTGGACATTATCATATGAGGAAAAAGTCATTATTCACTACCCCCAGTTCTCTTTCCCCCAGTTCACTACAAATATTTTTCCTCAATATTGTTATGCAAGGTCTCAGGCAACAAAAATGTAAGCAAAATCATTACAGATAGATTTCACCATATGGAAAGGGTTTACATTCAAACTAACTATAAATTGATATCACTGTGTACCAGCCTGCAAGTATTCTTGCAATACACAAAGCACAGCTCTGGCAAAACTGTCACACACCCACACACATGCAACCACTGTCAAGTGAATTGGAATAATTACAATGGTTATATATATATATATATATATCACTTGTACGTACACTTTGTCTATGTACTGTAGCGAGACTCAATATGTACCCGAAAAATATTGTTTCAGAGGAAATTCATTAAAGAAAGAAAGGCAGTTACTATTTCCAGACACCCTGCAGGATGCACACAAATTGTCCTCTACTGCTTCACAATTAAAGTAACTCACAATGCTTTTCCATAAATTGTAAACCTTTTTACTTAATTTGTTATAAATATTAAGAGATGCACATTGGCAATGACACAGTGGCACTTTGTGAAAAACCACAATTTGTAAAATCTACAAATGAAATGTTACCAATGAATAAAGTTTAGATTAAGGTCACAGGGGAACCAAACCAAAACAAAATTTTAAGTACTGCCTTGAAATATGGCATAAAAGTTCCTTCTAATTTAAATTAATTGTTCCTGTCCCCCCAGACTGTCAAGTATTATACAGTATTTCTGAAAAAATACTATGGTATTGCTGTGATTTTTTCACCAAAATTATACTTAAACTGCTTTAGCTATTGCTAATATTACTTTAAACAATTTCTTTGTTAAATGTCATTGGGCAATAAGCTTCTAGATACAAAATACAAAATAATATCAGGTATTTTGTCCAACACCTCATCTTCAACAAAGTTACAAATGGCCAATGATATTTTATCTTTGCTTCAAGCCAGGAATATCATCATACAACGGTAAAGAAATAATTAATAATTCATTTATATGGCCTAGGAAGCATTATTATTTTCAAAATTACATTGAGATCACGATCCTAACTGTGAAGTTACAAATATACAGTAGTATTTTGCACTCTACAGCCATTTAAAACATTGACCATAGCATGTTGCATACACAACTCGCATTAATGGACTGACATGTAAACAATCCTATATGCTCATTTAAATAACTTTCATATAAATTATACATAATTTTATACTGTATATATATATAATTTATATACAGTATATAATATAAATTATATGGGAAGGGCTGAGGGGAGGACGATGGGAAGGGCACATGCACACATTTTAATATATTTAAATATATATATATATATATATATATATATATATATATATTATATATATATAAAAAGGGCAATGTCAGGTATCTTCAAGGAGATATGAGATTTATAGAGAAACTAAAGACAACATTCAATTTGGTGGAAAAGATGTATTGCAGTATAATTCTAATTTTTTTTTTTTACACTGAAGACATATGTACATTTACACAACTGCAATAGTCACTTCTGGATGTGCAAATTTCTGGCAACCAGTCAAAATGAAGTGTAACATACTGTACTGCATATAAACACGAGGATAACTTTCTATTTCTTGGCAGCAGCAGCAGCTTGAGCAGCCTTCTTTGCTTTCACCATCTCCACAAGCTCCTGAAAGTAGCACCAACCAATTAATACGCTACCTAGTCTTATAAATTACAAGGTAAAAAAAAAACTTGGCAAGTAAGGAGAAAAAATGAGTTTGCAGTTTCTGACCATACATTATAAAACCCTGACCATATCTTTTTCATATTTCCAAAATAGTGTCTTGAAATATCAATTATACAAAAGTATATATTAAGAAATATATTTGTAAATGAAAGTGTAAATGAAAGTGTTTTGTAAATGAAGTGTAAATGAAGCACTTGGAAAAGTTATGATCCCAATTAGCACACTAATCCATTCTGTCAATGTTACACCACAGTGTAACAATCATATACATAAACATACAGGCACACAGTACAATTTGTGTAAGTGTAAGAGGACAGAAGGGTACACGAAAATGAACATACCTTGTATCGTCTCATGCAGTCTTTCTTAGTACGGTTGGGGACACATTCGGCAATGCGGTCCCAGCGGTCTTGCGTGGAAACTGGATATGTCTTCAAAGCTTGTTCCAACAAACGTTGTTCCTCTGCACCCCAAGCCATAGTATTCATGCCTAACATCTCCTGTGGTGCTGTGCAGAAAACATTTCCTCAGTAAATAAAAATGGTACATTTGCAATAACACAAATTACTGTTTAGTCTCTCTAATGACTACAGCAAAAATTTATTCTACATTAATAAACTGTTTAATACATTCATAGGTATAGCATCCTGCTTTGTAGTCACAGGCAGCACTTGCCAAGGGAAGGAATGGTACCCATCCACATTGACTGGTTGGTATAGCGGAGGCTTTACTTCTTGCAGGTCAGCATTCGATTTCCCAGTGCTCCAAATGATTGGATACCATTCCTTCCCTCTGCTCTATCCCAGATCCTTGTCCTCATATTCCCTTCCAAGTGCTCTTAGTCATACTGGCTTAGCACTTTTTCTTCATTTATTACCTTACCTCCCCCTTAACCACATTCTTGGTTGACTATTACCTTCACCTATTACAGTTGTATATGCGAAGTTTATATCACCGATGTGACTAGTCTGAAATATTTTATTTAAACAAGCATGCAACACACTAGATATAGAATTACTGTACTTTGTATTTTGATGTTGAAAATATTACTTAACAATCCTAAACACTGGATAATCTTGCCAGACTCGTATTGCTGTAAATTAAAAATGGCTAATTTTACTCACTGTCAAACCTCTGTGAGGCCGTAGCATCGCTTATTGTTGGTTTACCCTGAGACTTCTCCATACTGTGGTAAGCATTTTTATTGGCAGCTTCACGCATATGTTGGTCCGAGTGTTGCAGCTCTTTGGCCTTACTGAGAACCTCTTTAGCATGTCGTACTATGCCTGTAGTGGTAGTGTGCTGGTTGATGTACTCGGCAACAACGTCCCACCTGTACAGTGAAGATTATGAATACTGTAGAGTGAAATAGACTTACTTGGTAGAATTACTGTACTGTATAGCTTTCCTAGTTGGTTATTCTTATGAGCAGCTGATACTGTTCTTCTCTGTCAAAAATACTAACTCATACTTTAGACAAATTTGCTCACACATGCAACAAATTACAAGAGAGAAAAATACACCAAGGCACATAATAATCTTGCATTCTATTACATTTTGTCTGTTTATGGTATTTTTGTAATCCAGAACAAACTTTACAATTCCACTCTCTCTTGCTGCTAGCCTTTCATCCTTCACTTTGGTAAGTACTAGAAACACTCATGTTATTACAAGAAATTATTATTTTTCAAATGTTTTCATTCCTTCTACTCTTGTTCATTAACTTTTTTAAATTGGATACAATGGGATACACACTATCTTCACTCATTTTTGTTTTCAGACAATATTATTGCTCCTTTTTTTGTCCTTTTTTGGGTTTATATTTTAATCCTCAACTTACCTAATTTACCAACTTTTCTTAATCTCCTCATCAAGCCTTATACAGCCTAATGTGTCAAGATTTTTTTATTTAGTCTCTCTCTCTCTCTCACTCACTCACTCACTCTCACACACACACACACACACACACACACACACACACACACACACACACAGGAGAGGACATTATGGTGACCTTAGAAATTTTTTTAGTGAGTATAATTGGACAGACTTGATGCTAGGCAAGGAAGTGAATGAGATGTATGGCAAGTTTTGTGAAATATATGATAAAGGCACAAAAAAATTTATACCAAAACAGAGATGCAGAACTAGGAAACAGGATTGGTTCAATAGAAATTGCGAGAGGGCTAGAGACCGAAAGACACAAAAATGGAATCAATACAGGAAGAGGCCGAACCCCCAAACATACCAGCGATACAAAGATGCGAGAAACAACTACACGGCAGTGAGGAGAGAGGCAGAAAGAAATTTTGAAAAAGGGATTGCGGACAAATGTAAAACAGAACCAGGTCTATTCTATAAATTCATAAACAACAAATTGCAGGTAAAGGATAATATTCAGAGGTTGAAAATGGGAAATAGATTCACGGAAGATGAAAAGGAAATGTGTGAAACACTAAACGAAAAGTTCCAAAGTGTGTTTGTACAAAATGAAATCTTTAGGGAACCAGATACAATAAGAATTCCAGAGAACAACATAGAACACATAGAGGTGTCTAGAGACGAAGTGGAAAAAATGCTCAAGGAGCTCGGTAAGAACAAAGCAGCTGGCCCAGATGGCGTTTCACCATGGGTTCTGAGAGAATGTGCATCTGAGCTCAGCATTCCACTTCACCTGATCTTTCAGGCATCCCTGTGTACAGGAATCGTAGCAGACGGGTGGAAACAGGCTAACATAGTTCCAATCTACAAAAGTGGCAGCAGGGAAGACCCCCTCAATTATAGACCTGTATCATTGACAAGTGTAATAGTGAAAGTATTGGAAAAACTAATCAAAACTAAATGGGTAGAACACCTAGAGAGAAATGATATAATATCAGACAGACAGTATGGTTTTCGATCTGGAAGATCCTGTGTATCGAATTTACTCAGTTTCTATGATCGAGCCACAGAGATATTACAGGAAAGAGATGGTTGGGTTGACTGCATCTATCTGGACCTAAAAAAGGCTTTCGACAGAGTTCCACATAAGAGGTTGTTCTGGAAACTGGAAAATATTGGAGGGGTGACAGGTCATGGATTTCTATCATGGATGAAAAATTTTCTGACTGATAGAAAAATGAGGGCAGTAATCAGAGGCAATGTATCAGAATGGAGAAATGTCACAAGTGGAGTACCACAGGGTTCAGTTCTTGCACCAGTGATGTTTATTGTGTACATAAATGATCTACCAGTTGGTATACAGAATTATATGAACATGTTTGCTGATGATGCTAAGATAATAGGAAGGATAAGAAATTTAGATGACTGTCATGCCCTTCAAGATGACCTGGACAAAATAAGTATATGGAGCACCACTTGGCAAATGGAATTTAATGTTAATAAATGTCATGTTATGGAATGTGGAATAGGAGAACATAGACCCCACACAACCTATATATTATGTGAGAAATCTTTAAAGAATTCTGATAAAGAAAGAGATCTAGGAGTGGTTCTAGATAGAAAACTATCACCTGAGGACCACATAAAGAATATTGTGCAAGGAGCCTATGCTATGCTTTCTAACTTCAGAATTGCATTTAAATACATGGATGGCGATATACTAAAGAAATTGTTCATGACTTTTGTTAGGCCAAAGCTAGAATATGCAGCTGTTGTGTGGTGCCCATATCTTAAGAAGCACATCAACAAACTGGAAAAGGTGCAAAGACATGCTACTAAGTGGCTCCCAGAACTGAAGGGCAAGAGCTACGAGGAGAGGTTAGAAGCATTAAATATGCCAAAACTAGAAGACAGAAGAAAAAGAGGTGATATGATCACTACATACAAAATAGTTACAGGAATTGATAAAATCGACAGGGAAGACTTCCTGAGACCTGGAATTTCAAGAACAAGAGGTCATAGATTTAAACTAGCTAAACACAGATGCCGAAGAAATATAAGAAAATTCACCTTCGCAAATAGAGTGGTAGACGGTTGGAACAAGTTAAGTGAGAAGGTGGTGGAGGCCAAGACCGTCAGTAGTTTCAAAGCGTTATATGACAAAGAGTGCTGGGAAGACGGGACACCACGAGCGTAGCTCTCATCCTGTAACTACACTTAGGTAATTACACTTAGGTAATTACACACACACACACACACACACACACAGATTTCAGGAGGATAGGAAAATATGAGAGACTGGAGTGAAACAAATGATGAAAGTCTTAGAATACCAGGAAATTGCAGTGCTCAGGATAGGAAACTTTGGTCATTAAGAGGAAACCTCTCAAAGACAGAAAAGCTAAAATTAAACCTTGATGAAGTGAAAAGTCTAAATGGGAATAGAAAAAGAAGGAAAATATTCTTCTACAAGCTGATAGGGACTGGAGAGCCTGTGAAATGGTACATAAAAACAAACCAACACAATCATTAGAGAAAGGGGGGAGTAAAGGACAAAGGAAGAGGGAACATGTTTCTGAAAATTGTTTACACCAACATAGGTGGAGCGAGATAGAAAATACTGGAGCTAAACAATATAATTTAATTAAAAGGCCCAGATACTGTCACTTGACAAAAATGTTTTAAATGACCTCATTAAATGAGCCCAAAGGGCTACTCAATTTGGAGACATGACAGAATCATTAGAAAGGGTGGAAGTGTGGCTGTGCTGGTGAAAGAACACATGAAGGAGAGAGTTAATAATCAACAACCCACGAGAAGCTGACATAATGGCACTGCGGGTTTGGAATCGGGATGATAAACTGATAATCGTAAATGCCTACAGCCCATCAGTATGCAACATATGGACAAAGGAGGAACTAGATGACAAACAAGTTCCATCAATTGTAGATTTAATATTCACCAAGAAAGAAGATATATTTGACATTCAGTACCTTCCTCCCACGGAAAAGAGTGACCATGTCCTGTTGGAAATTAAATATACCATGCGATATAGCCAAGAAGAGAATGACGAAATTGAAGTAGTTGATAAACTTGATTTCAAGAGAGGACATTATAGGGAACTTAGCAAATTCTTTAATTAATTTAATTGGAAAGACTTATTGCTAGGCAAGTAAGTAAATGAGATTACAAAATATGTAACGACTTACCGCTTTGTTGTACCAGCTGGAAAGAGATTTACGGCCTTGATGAGAAGCTGGAGATCATCCTGACACCAGCTTTTGTGTGAGGAGCCTTCACCACCACTTCCACTGCCACCTCTAGAAGCTGCCACTGATACTTCCTCTCTCTCACGTTTAATGCGATTGCGAACTTCTGTTACCTAGACGATAGAAACTTCCTGTATTTTTATGTAACTTTCATTATGGAAGTGTAACAGTGCAAGTATTTTGCACTCTTTCATGTATAATTGTGAGTTGTAATTGTGTGTGTGTATGTGTGTATAAATCTAACTACTCAAGAGAAGAGGAGCAGGTGTATATATATGATCACTCCATACAAAATACTGAGGTGAGGAATATACAGGGTGGATAAAGACAAGACTAAACCAAAAGGAAGGAGAACAGTTTAAGTTGTAAATGCAACCGGAGTTGAAGATATTTAAGGAAATACTCTTACTGTGTACAGATGGTTAACAAGTAGAATGAACTAGAAGTCATTAAAGCCACCTACATCCAAAGCTTCACGAGCAAATAAAATTTAGAACTAGACAAGTCTATATAAAAAATATAAAAAAATACACAATGTACAAAAAGCTATAAAATAACCTCTTATAAGATACTGCTCAGTAAGAACTCACCTCCTTCATTAGAACTCCTCTGCCTTTAGTCTGATCTTTGCCAGCCTGAGAAAGTTTCTTGTTGAGCTCTTCAATTTTGACAAGTTCTAGAGCCTCACACAGCAGCTCCACATCTGTCATCACCTGCACCCGTTCACTTTCTTCATTGCTATAATAATTATTGTCCTTGCAAAGTGTGCGTAAACTCTGGAGTGGCAAATGACAAAAAACAAATTAATAAAATGTCTATTCTCTAAGAAGGTGACTTTTGTCAATATGAAAATACAAAGAAAGAAATAAAACGTTCTGACTTGGGCTTGCAACAGGTCTAGTGCGCTAGTTAACCCTTTGGCAGCCAAATGGTATGTAAACAAATCAGCACCAATTGCCTTTTTCTCGAGATGGAGGAGAGCCAGTCACCAACCAACTTGTCCTCTCGAATAATACGTCACGTTTTGACATCAAAATCTCCAATGAACAAAATATGATACTGTACGAGTTCACTTTTCTGAAGCCCAATGAGCCATATATTTGGGTTATCCGACGAACATCGCTGCTGGATATTTTTCTGGCAAAACTTTGAAATATCAGGTAACTGGAGATTTTGCTGGATGGACAGGCATCAGGCCACACTGTATTAATCCTGTACAGCAGTGGCTTGAGGTGCGGGAATGGGAGGTGTTGGGGTGGCTGGTTTTGGGTTAGGGGTGTCAGGAGAGATTGTCTGGAGAATGAAGGCTTATGATCTGTATAGTATAGAATAACCAGGAATTATGTTAAAATAATTCAGTACAGTAAAACTATAAAGAAATATTACGTATTATAACAAATACAAATTTCTTGAAACTGTGTGTACAGACTGTAGTTTCCTGTTAAAATTTAGGCATTTTCTTGCCAGCTGGTGGTCTACGTAACGTGTCTGCATCTCCCAGTGAAGCTGTCCAGGCCATTTGCTCTCGATCCTTGAATTATACCACAGTGCCACACCATTAGTGAAACATTTTCTTAAATTGCCTTTTGTTTTGATAGTAACTTTGATAATGTTTTGCCAAGACTATGTCTAGTAGCAGCAACAAGCATCCTGGAGGTATTAAGAGGAGGAAGAAGGTTGTGCTAACGCCACCACAGACAACCAAATGCAGTTTACTCGTGTCTTATGTTGACGTGCTAATTCATTTTTCATCCAACTGTGCTAATCCAGAAGTTGGAAACATTATCAGTACTTGAGGTGAACCAGAGCTGATCCTCTAGTAAAGCCAAGCCATGCAAAAACTATACTTTTGTATTAAGTAATAATCAAAAGAAGGGACCAAGTCGGAAAGACCATATACTGTAGTGTCGCTAATCATCATTAAAGATGCCAACATAACAACAAAAGAACATAAGGCGAGCAATATCAAAGGTATTGGATTCACCAAAGATTCTATCTTGGGACAAATGACCTTGAGTGACACACTTGTTAATTTTTGTAATTAACGTGTTGTTGCCATGCCTACTGTGCATTCTATGGCTCCCACCAATTTACTAAAATTCTTTGAACTATTGTATATACTTCTGTAGTCCCATTTTAGTAATGTTTACACAATATATTTTACATTTTTTTAAGAAATTTCATGCAAATAATTAACCCCCTGTTCAGCTTACCTTGCGTTCTTTTTTGAATGCCTTTTTCAATGCCTCTCGCTCTTTCTTCTCTATTTCCTGCCTTGCTCTTTGTTCAGCTTCTTCAACTTCCCTTTTCTTTCTTTCTGCTTCTTCAGCTTCTCGTCTTATCTAATCAGTATTAAAAAAATTAGTCCCAAGGATGTGAAAATACAGTACAAAGCCCTATTCAACAACTTTACAAGGTCTGTAAAAGCTTCAATTACAGTGCAGTAAAGCTAATCTTGATGAGAAATATAAGTACTCTTTCATGGTTTTTTAACAAACAAATGATTCTTTTGTAGTTTTACCATTCAGTTAACTACATCTGTAGTTATACTGTTCAGTCAACAACAACTGTCAAAGAATTCTAGACGATGATTTATGAGTAGCTACTGAGAACAGTGTGTACTAACCTTAGCAAGCATTTACAAGTGAAATCAAAGGAAGGATCCATAAAATGACAAAAGCATAGGGAATAAAAATATGGAAAAACAGCATTTATTGAAAGGTTAATGTACTTTACATCCTTTTTATTAACAGCAGCCAAGATGCATTACTTCCTCCCAGAAGCTCCCCATCTGGTTATGGCCACAGTAATGTCTCTAGGAAATTTTATATTCATACAGTTTTCATGCTCAAGCTCTCTAAACCCCCTCCCATTCTTTCATATACTGTTCAACTCGCCCCTTTCCAAGTGACCAAATAAGCCTCTCATTTCACCACTGTACACACCCCTCTTGTCCAATGCTTCTCGAGCATCCTACTACATGCCCAGGCCACCCCAAGCATATAGTGCTTCACCCATCCCACATCTTATGTCCTCACCCCTTGCACTCGAATCACATCTATACTTCCTCATTGCTCTAACCATCACACAAAGCTCATACTTTCCAAAAACAACTTTGAATTGATTAATAACATCTCATTTTTTCCTTCAGTATTCTTCTTACGCACTTGAGTATATGTACTTCCAAAAGAAATCTGTCTACTTGCCTAATACTTAATTCCACATACCTTTGCAATAATTCAAGAGGGTCAAGAACAGATGCACTTATCATGGCATTAATACACATACAGCATTACACATTTTGCGATGCATACAAAAACATAATAAACAAAAATAGCAGTAGACAAAAATCCATAATGGAAAAATTCCATATTAATTTTAAAAAACTTATAACTGCAATGATTGGGGTAAAGTCAATGGGTTTAGTGATGATGAAAATATCAATACATATTCTATAAAGCTAGGGAAGATTCTGCACATCAATTGGATGATATTAGATATGGAAAATATAGCTGAAAAAAGATAAAGATGAATAGGTATGTACATATAAAAGAAATCATAGTACATGATAATAAAATTCTTCAAATCTTCTTTTAAATTATAAATAGAAATTTAACTGGTTTTCAATGAAATGTATAGATGATAAATATAGATGGCAAGTCTCCAAAGCTCACCCTCTCCTCCTCTTCCATCTTTTGTCTGATTGCATCTGCCTTAGCCTTTTTGTACGCCAGTCTTCTCTCCTTCTCTTCCTCCTTAAATCTGTAAGTTGGAAATATATTATCAATTATACTTAGCCACGTCTTCACTATGATTCTTGATAAACTAACCAATTTCACTACTTGAGGAATTCAACACTGCACACGCATGTCTTAATTCATTAAAAGTCCTCAACACATGACATCCTAAATCTTGTATATACCGAGACAGCCTAGACACTTGTCATTTGCTAATGACAAAGTAAGATATCTTTATTGTTTCTAGCTAATTAATGTCCTTGATCATTTAAGAATAACAATAGCAGATCCTCTTAATTGTTATCCCATTAATATATGAGCATTTAAACCTAACCAAACCTGAAGCTAACTCAACCAAGAATGATTGTTGTAATGGGCAGTAGAATGAATGCATCCAATATACCCAATTTTGACCAATTTTTTTTTTCAAGTCACAAGCAATCTTGGGACAAAATTATGTGCTGGATCAAGGTTCCTTTATTAGTAGACACGACACACACACAATTTCCCAAAAGGGAGAAAAAGAATTAGACAGGAAAGCATATTTCCTGCATAGCTTCAATGTTTATGAACCATCTTAAGTACACGAAACAAACTAGTAACAGCATTATGTAAGATACCTTTAGCTGAATTAATTATACTATATTTAAACTGCCTTATCAAGACTACTTGGGGAAAAAAAAAGTACATACTTTGAAATTCTGGGATCACAAGCATAGGTATTATCAACCAATCGTCTTAGTCGTGCCATCTCCTCTTTTCGTCTTCGAGCTCGTTCTACTTTGTTTTGTTTCTCAATCCAACGACGTTCTTCTCGGCTGATTGGAAAAGAAAATGGCAAAACTAAATATAACAAAAAAGCAATCAGGTGGCAGTAGGAAAGCAAAATGTGGGTTTAATCAACTCTGAGGTACACAATAATCAAGTTAAAATAACATTAATTGCAATAACACCAAAAAAATTACATTAACGTGATATTTATCAACGAGAAAATCAATTGGAGACACAAGGTGACTCGAACACCTTACTCCTGTACCATGACATAATGTCATGTAAACCTGGGATTCAGTGGCATCCCAGGTGGTATAGTTTATACCATGTTGTTGTATCCTGTTCTACAAACTACAATTTATTATTTCGTTAATTTCAATTATGCAATACTGACATCAAAAGCAAAAAATTATAATACAATGTATGAAGTAAAGATTGTGTAAAAAGAAAAAATAAGAATTAAAACAAACAGTGCCAATAACTGTGTGAATGTAATGAATCTTCTCAACTTGATGGATTACAAATTCACTGGATAAATTTAAAGGATACATCAATAAATTTAATATAAAATTTAGATTATTACAGAAACATGCAATTGTTTATGTAAAAATTAAAAAAAAATTGCATTTTGCCATTTAATTAATCATATTGCCTACTGGCCAGGGTTCAGTTCTAGGGTGGCTGAAGCAGTATTGACCAATACAAGTAAAGATAAAGATCATTTGAGGAAAACGAGCTTGATTGTTTGTTTGTTTAATGCAGTCTTAACAGCTGGAGTCAAATTAAGCACAAACTTGACGAAGAGTTCAAAGCTGTCACAACTAGATCACTTGGGAAACACTAGCTGATAAATATGCAAGTTAAAAACTAATAAATTAATTGGGTACAGCTGTAATAAGAGAGAAAAGCTAATATGCCGTGTAAATAAAATGAAAAAATTATGTGCATATATATACTTTAATGCCTCTGGAAATTGCTTTGTCCTCTACAAAGTATATCTAGTGAGGCCACCTCCAGCAACACCAACACAGAAATATCTTGCACTTATAACAAGCTGCATTCTGCAATGTTTGCACACCTACAAGTCATGAAACACATACAGAGAAGGGGACGGGGACCACCCTTCGTTCCTGCTTAGTCTTCAAGTTTTCGTTTGAATTTGGTATTTATAACCTACAGCAAAATTTTACTTAATATAATGCAACAAATATGAAAGTGAGTGTAGAAAAAACTCAAGTGCTTTTATATCTACAAGATTATGGGTACAGTGCTTTGAAATTTTACTAAATGTGGTAATTTTCTCGCTCAACATTAAGGTATGAAAATATAATCACTTTATTTTCTTCATACTTTGTCAACACCACCACAGAAGGTGTGGTGGTGTGGTAATTTTGTTTTAACCTGATATTTATATAAAATAAATAAATGCATGTCCTGTTTGGTCAATAGGTACAGTACTAAAATACAGGCAGCCCAAGATTTACACAGTACTGTACCGGAGAACGGATTTGGTGGTATGTGAGGTAAACACACTTTTACATAAAGTTTCAAAGAGTGCAATTCCAACGAAATGCAGATTGGGTACGAACTTCTGTAACACACTAATCTGCAAGTCACCTGTTCTCTCGTCAATGTGTTGGGCTCTCTTACATACAACATTCTTCTCTTTTATGAATCACTAATTATATTGTTGCAGCATTGTACATTTCAAGCATTTTGAAAATCATGTGCTGTATATGTTGGCTGGAAAGAGAAGGGAGCACCTAATACTGACATTCAAGGATGTTTTATCTAGTAAACCGGAATAAAAGCACTTTTGGAATTCTATGCAATTTAACCCAATTTTCCCAATATACTTTACCTTCAAGTTAGATGTAAAAATTTTACAGAAATATGACCCCACGGCACATTAAGAGACCTTCTGTAAGCATTAAGCTCAAGTACAGTATGAATAAAACTAAAAATAAACTTAAACATTTAAATACTAACTCTTGCCCTTTTTCCTTCTCTTCTTCATCCAAGTAAGAAAACTCGCGCCAAGACTCAAAATCATACCAAAAGGCATAGAACCTGTCCACCTGAAAAGAAAACAAAACCCATTATGTTTATTCTGTGCCACAGTCCAACCACTTGGGCTGGACGGTAGAGCTACGGTCTCGCTTCATGCAGGTCGGCGTTCAATCCCCCGACCGTCCAAGTGGCTGGGTACCATTCCTTCCCCTCGTCCCCTCCCCCAAATCCTTATCCTGACCCCTTCCCAGTGCTATATAGTCGTAATGGCTTGGCGCTTTCTCCTGATAGTTCCATTCCATTTCCATATACTGTGCCACAACTAGACGAACCACAAATTGCAGATCTCCTATTTGATTATAGGAAAATAAATATAATCTCATGGTTTCTAGCTGCATATGGTTTATGTTTCACTAAGGAAATAGTTTTATGTTGGAAATTAATTTAATTTTGTCGTTAAGCGGGCATAATGTCAAGAGGTGTTGCGAAGACTTGATGCCACTGTCGTGTGATTGCCAGACTAGCTTCATTCTGTCATGTATGGGCATAGTTCATTAGCATCAGGTTATTTCATACACTGGTCTCCGTGCATGGCAAACACATGGGGGTGTACTTTGCTTGTATGCTGTCACAGCAGGCTTGAGGGGGAGCAGGAGCCACCCATTTCTTGTGCGAGCAGGACACAAGAGTTCCCTCACCATGGCAAGAACCCCCCCACTGATGGGGAAAGGGTTCTTAGTTTGAATATTTATTGGTTTTATTTATGACCAGTCTAAGTACAGTATACAGTATATAAATATACAGTATAAAATAACTATAAATATACAGTATATAAATATTTGAAACAATAAACAAGTTTCTTTTTTCAAATGATAGTTCATATCTTATGGATGCTTGAAACAATAAATCTTACGAATTTCTCTTTTTCAAATGACAGTTAAAAGTATACAGATTATGGACTTTTTTTTATTAAATCTTTATAATTATAGATAGGAATTCATAACCAAATCTTAATCCCAATATCTTCTATTTGCAAGACATTAATTACTGAAAGCTGTTGTCTAAGGTTAATAGAATCGGTGGATAGAGAAGGCCTTTTCTCTTCCCTAAAATGTAATAATTGAAAAATTGTGTGTCAACCCCAAATAAATCATTGATTCTTTGGTTTTAATTAACCATAACAGGAACACCTGTTGTGAAAGGGGCATATTATGGGAATTCTTGGATCTTACCCGATCCCAAAAATCACACATCGTAAGCAATCATTAGTAAAAATGGCAATGCTCAATGGAAATACAGTGAGTGTTTAAACCATCTTGTACTGCCATCTTCCATGGTTAAATAGCATACACACTAATTAGATAAAAAAAAAAAAATGTACAGTGCATCCCTAATAATTTCATAGGAAAATATTATTAATTTTTTCTTTGTACAGTACTTTGACAGTACTTTGTCGTTTGCATTACAGTACCTATCTGAGGAAAATATGGCAACCTTAGATAACTAATGTTTTTCACCTCAACTATTTATTACGTATACTGATGACTTACTTTCTGCTTTGGGTCATCAGGCTTTCCAAGGCCAGGAACATGTTTTCTTGTTGACCATCGAGCATTGCGTTCCAGTACCGGAGTAAATACCTGAAACATAAGAAACATACAAATAGCATAAACTTCAAAACAAAAAATGTTAAAAATATTTATCTATATGAAAGCATCTATCTTTTAATACTACATTTACAGTATTGCAATTCTCCCCTTGTTTCCAATAACCAAAACTATATAATGAATACAGCCAGGATAGCTTAAAATCAGTGACATTCATGCTAAGGAGGTGACAGCGATTTGCTAGCCATGATCATCAAATATTCAGTTATTGTCTTTAATTCAGTCATACTATTTATGGAGCAATCTTTTTCCTTTTACGATTCTTCAGTGTGTCTGGTATAAATAAAATAAAATACCCATGATAGGTTCATTGATGAAAGAGTTAAGAGGAAGATGCAAAGAATTCTAGCCTCTCATCAATGTTTCCTCTTTACAAATAAAAACATTGTAGAAACAATTATAAATTCATAGAAATGTATTCTTCATTTTTCCAAATACTGTACTGTATCAGTACTTGCAGTAGGTACTTTATTGTCCTGAGCATGCCCTAACATACATGTAGATTATTTAGTTTAAATGATCGTGTCATAAGCCCTTCTCCAAGATACATATGCCATCGGCATTTACAACTGTTAAATACCTGTACAGTACAGGTATACTGTCGAGCAATGTTTTGTATATGCATTACGTGCATTTTTGCATAGAAAAAGGAGGACTTTGGAAGGTCTTGGGAATGTAAGCTTAATGATTGCTGCCTGCATTATGTCTGTGTCTTTGCTATTAATGTAACTAATATAAGAACATACAGCAAATACTGCCCCAGACATATGTATTCTCAAGAACTGTCTTTTTCAAAATGCATAAATAGGGTTGGCATTGATTCACATCTTTCACTCTCACACCAGGTGCTCTATTAGCAACACTGATAAGAGACCTAGCCCCCCCTACTCAACCGTACTGCCTTGATCAGCACCGAGTTCAACGGGCCTGTGTATGTACTTGTTAGTGGCTACAGGTTTTAACTCCAGTGCCTGCTCTAAACATGTCACTTAACATTATACTACTGTTATTTGTATATCTGGTTTTATTTCATATTGCTTGTCTGGTAACCCCTAGTAGATCACAAACACATTTACTCATACTCTGTATGCAAAATAATTCAGATTATACAAACCTCGAAGAAATGAGCTTTATTGTAAGCATTTACTACAGGAACATCATCATCAAACTCTGGATCAACAGAGTCCCATGAACGACGCTTAATTGGATCTCCCAAAATCTCATTGGCTTTAGTAATACAGGTGAAATAGTCATCATCTTCACGAATCTCTTCCCCAGCCCCTCTTCTTTTATCAGGGTGGTGCCGAAGCACCATCATACGATCTGAAAAGGGCCAAAGAGTTTGGTTAATAAAACACGTAATTCTCTAAACCACAGCTATTCAATTCACAGCACGCAGTGGCCAAATTTGCTTCACGATTCTTTCATAATTGGTCTTTTGACAGTCGGAGACATAATATAAATATGATTAGAGACATATTAGCAGTCAGCGAGGGATGATGGATGACAATGACAGACCCATGCCATTCTGGAGACATGCCTATTGCAATGCTTGTAATCGTACACAATTTCCATATCTTATGGATGCTTGCAAACATTGTACTGTATTTCTTTCACATTTCACTTAATTTACAGCAAGATAGCTTTGATATACTTATTTGAAGAAGTTAAGTAATTATATATTTTTGTATTTTCTTTCCACAGCAGTGTGTGGAGACTTCTCAATTAACGAGGGACCTCATTAACCGGACATGCATCTAGTCAATAGAGAATGAGTCTTGGATATTTCTAAGCCTGGATAATCCAAGAATCTGGAAACAGGGATCTGAATAATGGGAGTTAAGACTGTATAGCTAGCAAGTATTATCTATATTAAGTTATAATTATTATACAGTATATAGTTATAGTATCTATTAGCATTAGGCTAATTGAACAATGTGTACTACTATTGGACTATTATTATTTTAAAGTCCAGTAACTCAAATTCCTAAAAGCATTTTATTTCTAATCAATAATAATATAGTACAAATTGGAGCTCCTAGCTAGAAATTATTATTTAATGTATTTACAATAGTCAAATTTATGTTTGAAACTTGAATTTTAAGTAGTAAATCTTCATGGAACGATTGTAATCGCAGCCCTTTCTCTGGTAAAACCATGCACACCAAATAAGTGGACTTTACTCACAAGCTCTCTTTATATCATCATCTGATACCTTGTACCGATACTTCTTCAGTCCCAACACAGAATAGTGATCTTGATCCTGTAATACAGTATAACTGATTTTAAATGACAATCCTTTAGAAGCTTAAATAATTTAATACAACATTAATGAGACCATAATTAATTACATACAGATTATTTAAAGCTACATAACATGCTTCGAGATTGCAAAAACAAACTTGTTAACTTGTGATCATCTTGTGTAAAACTCTACACACGTTAACTTGTAAACTTTTGTTAGTTATTCTGCTGCTCCCAGAAGTATATTGATCCACCGAGCCTAATGTTGGATCACTGTGTGGGGGCAAGACGAATTTATGGTACTAATACCACAAGGCATGAAATGCTCCTGCAACTTCATATTAGAAGACGGAGATGCTGGAGGTTTTAAATTAAAGCAGCCAAGGTAACAGATAATCTACTTGTAGTTTGCTCAAGACCCTAAGCTATCAAAGTCCCAATGACAACCTGAATTTAAAGGTTGTTACCAAGAGGAAAGGTTCCCTTAACTACATCAAATAAGGTCAAACATGAGCTTTGCCTGATGACCACCTATAGTGACATCACTCTTGATTAACAACCACTCTGATTCGGTCCGTCCAAGACAGACCGAAACATCGTCATCCCTTCACCTTCTACTGTGTGGTCTGGTCAACATACTTTAGCCACGTTATTGTGACTCATCGCCTGCAACAACCACGCCTCTCCTCCCCCTTCCCCCACTCCCTGAATACTATATCCTTCTGGCTGAAATGACAGACCCGACAGCACAGTCTGCTTTCTTTTATAAACTTGACCTGTACAATACATACCTTGCTTCCTTAATCATGCTGATGGTGACACTACATTCTGTGGCACCCTATGCTAACCTCAATTCAATGCTGGAGGATAATACATTTTGGGTGTAAAGAGGAGTGTGCTTCTTACAAGACCTTTAGGCCTCATCTTCATGGAACAAGAGGTTCCAAAATGGGGAAGACATTAGTGGAAGTATAATTGTACACTGCTTCTGCACTCAGTTACTCTTACTCTTTCTTTCGTATGTCACTTCCCTACACTCCCTTCTCTTACCAATTCCCTCCCCCCTTGCCTTAATATGCTTATTATATCCACCAACTAGTTTACTATATACTGTAATGTATTCCTCACGTGTTTCACCCTCCTTAATTCTGTTTCCTTTTGATACAATTTATTACTCTTTGTATTATAAAATAAAGTCATAGGTTATAATTAATATTAATATACTTATTTTATTTTCTACACTATTTGGAATTATTGAGAGGAAATCTCTGAGCGTTGCGCGGGAAGGGAGGGATATGGGGGGGGGGGGGGGGGTAATCCAGGTTAACGGCCGAAGACAACAATTCATGGGGGGGGGGGTTAACTAGAAGGTACATCCTTTGAAAACCATACCAAACTCTTACAAATATTTATATTTAACAAACTCTCAATATGATGTCAAGGTTCAAAGTGGCTTGAGCTACAGGCATCAAATTACAATTACAGTACTTACTTTTCAGTAAGAATTTGCACAGCATTGACATCATAATATTATATGAATTTCATACATCCAATGGCCACAAACACCTTGCTGGAATTTTTACTCCTTTCTAACTTTATAAGCTCTGTTTATCACTTGCTTTCCACCAAATTAACCTTTGTTTAACTCTACGTTTAATGTAGCTTGTTGGTTCACGTAAGAATAGACTTCATATACATACTTGATACTTGCCTGCTTGCATGCATACACAGAATACATACTGTATATACACACACATACTGCATATACTTGATACAGTAATAAATATGCATGCATACTACATACACACAAAATAATGATTCATATCTACCTTCCAATCAGCAGGGTTGAGTGATCTGAGATACTGAATATCATCCTCAATCTCCACTTCAGGGCCTTCCTCTCCTTCACTTTCTTCCTCGCTCTCCCCAGCAGAGGAGATGAGGTGGCCACGCAGCCTCCGAGCTTCATATGCATGGAACCACCTGCCAACTGGCTCTACCTCAACCTGTATGAGAGCTAAAGCAAAACAACACCCCTATTAAACAAAAATAAACGAACAATGTACCCAAAACACAATGGGAGGATCTTTTATTAAATTTAATTTTAACTGTCTAGGCACTGAATAGGACACAAACTGAATTATAAAGTATTATTCAATACACTGCCCTCTCCCCCCAGCCTGAGTCCTGAGACTAACAAAGTGTAGATATTAAATGTAGAAGCATGTGAAATCTTCATAAATATGTTCTAATAAATAGGGTTAACTCTAAAGAGAGAAAGCAGAGCTACACTATAAAGAGTGGTTACATAAATACTCATGTGACAGCCAATTTTCCAAGGAATGCAGATCTTCACAGAAATAGAAAAAAAAACTCAGGTATATCCAATCCCATTACTCACAAGAGGAGTCACTGTATGACAAGTATAGCTCTCATCCTGGAACTAAGATAATTACAATTAAGTAATTAATTATAAGTCAGCACACTCCAACTTCTTACATGTTCTGGTCAATGTCTGACACTTTACATGAATAATTAATATATGCAGTACCAGTAATTAAACAAAACACAGTATAGAATAATAATACTGTATCTACACCATTTAGCCTAGCCTAACCTGATGATCATTTCATCTTGTGTATAACATCTTTCTTTATCAATAATTATTAAATATTCAGTGCTCGCTCTAAGTAACCCGCTGCAGACTATATAGACACAGGTAACTTTATATCAAAGACTTCCCAAATTAATTTTAATCCTACCTAACCAATCTTAATAAAATTTAAAAAATTAGAAAATGAGCCGTGTTGAAATGCCTCTGTACAATTAGACTGTACTCTGGCTATACTGGCAAAATTAGTGACTAATAAATGTGCCGCAAGTTGACCAAAGCGTACAATGAGTTCGTGCAGGCGGGCTCTGGGTCCCCCGCTACCCATTAACAACCGTAGCCATACAAATATGCCACACACGATCCACTCAAACCCTGATGTTCCGGACCGAGTAAAAAAGCCAATCTCAAAAAAAAATCTATAAAAATAAAGCATAAAAAATTAATAAATGCTCAAGTCTATGCCCACTGAATCAAGTCTGCAGAGTACCTACAGAGCAACATTAAACCATCAACACGAAACACCAACAGATCAGATCAGATTTAAGCCAAGCAGATCAGCAACCAAAAAAAAAGAACCATACCCACTCTTCACCCTCGGGAACTGGATACACCATTCCTGATCACCACCACCAATCACAGATCTCTCAAACCAATCAGTTATTAAAGATAATTATTAGTAATGTGTCCCAAACGAGACACACACACACCCGGCCTGGTGTGTCTCTCTCTCTCCCTCCTATGTTAACCCACGACCTCCCTCCTTTGCCCACCTCGGCTCCTATACTCACGTGTAAGTCGCCTCTTGATGATGACTGCAACGCTCGAGTCCTCGGTATCCATGTCGGCAGTCATAGTTAAATATTATAGAGCCTCGGGGGTGAACTGCTACAAAATAAGAAGACACATTTTTGAGCGGTTGAGAGGAGGAGCCGGAGAGGGCGGACTACACGTGCTGCCGTCACAGAGCACCGCCTCCACCACCCTCGTCTCCGGGGGCAGGCTCCTCTAAATTAATTAAATTACATTAAAATAAATAATAATAATAATAAATAAATGTTTATTCAGGTAAGGTACATACAAACAAGAGATTTTACATAAATTGATCGATTTATAGATAGAGCTAGTACATACTATGCCTAAAGCCACTATTACGCAAAGCGTTTCGGGCAGAATGAGCTAAAATTCAATTTTGTATTCAGGAAAAGTATATACAAAGTTGATTTACAAATATAATGTTGGATCAAGTTCAAGTTCAAGTATGTTTATTGAGATAAGCAATAAATACATCTCAAAGGGATAGAGTAGCTTAGGCTATTTCTACCCCCCTCTACTTCAAGTCCCTCAAGGGGCGCACAAATTCAGTGAGTACAAATAGACATATAACAGTACAAGAATCCCATTTAACATTGCATACAGCAAGTACAGCATATAATTGTTACATTCTTGGGGCAAAATTCTTGTAGCTCCTAAGTATACTGTCTATTATACCATTATCACACATCCAAACAATTTGATGTGGTACACTATTTATTTCCTTATTTCTATATTTTTCAATAAGGTGACACTCTAATACATAATGTTCTAAGGTGTGGGCGTACGGCATACTACATAATTTACACTCCTTATCTTTTTCACTGACATCAACACCGTATTGCCAGATATATTTGTATCCTAATCGTAATCTCATGTAAATTGAATCCTTCCAAGTAGACTTTCCTTTACCATAAGTGAAGGACGAATTTGTATTTATTATTGAATAATTCTTAAGTGTGTTACTACTGTCCACCATTGCCATTCTCTTTATCATTTCTTCACCCTCCTGAATCACCTTGAGTCTTGTTTTTATTTGTTTCAAGGTTAACTGACATACAACATCAACAAGAGTTTTTTCAGTGGCTCTCTTCGCTATGTCATCAACTACCTCATTCAACAGTATTCCCACATGTGAAGGGATCCACATGAATCTTACTTTATACCCAGTTTTTTCTAGTCTCTTAACATTCTCTCTACACTCTATCACAATATTCTGATATACTGGGCGTCTGCTATTTAAAGACTCTAACGCTCCTCTGCTGTCAATAAAGAAGCAAGCATTTTTACCACATTTGACTACTTCCTGTAATCCTGCTAATACTCCTTGGAGTTCAGCCTGCGTTGAAGAGACATTGTCAGTTAAGCGGCGTCCAATAACAGTATCTACAGTGCCGATGTCAGTGTACTCCCTGATCAAGACTCCACATCCTGCCTTCCCATCCCTAGCTACTGACCCATCACAATATACATGTAGAGTGTTTTCTGTAGGCAGTTTTCTAATTATACAATCATATGTTGCCCTCAGCTCTCCTATTTCATACATACTTTTTTTCTTATGCAAGGGAGTAATTACTACATCTACATTACAATCCTCCCATGGTGGTGTAAATTTTCTCTTGGGCACAGCAATACACTCTGTAATAACATCATACTTTATAACATTATAACATAATTTATTCATATATACTCTCTTCTTCATCATACACTGTTCACTACTTCCCACCTTTTGAACCGAGAGGATTAATTCATTAGCTCCCCCACCTCTCATTAATCTAATGGCAGAGGCTACATTTATCTCTGAAATTCTATCCCCAATACTCTGCAGATTCAACTCCATCCTCATTATCTCAATCATAGCATTTCTTGGGCATCCTAAGATAATTCTCATTGCTTCATTTTGTACCTTCTCCAACTTGCCCATCCTACCTTTACCAAAACAAGAAATGACAGGTGCAGCATAATCAATAAGAGATCTTACAGTACTCAATACAATACAATACAATACAATTTTATTTAGGTAAGGTACATACATACAATAAATATTTACAAGGATTGTTTAACTTATAGGTATAGCTAGTACATACAATGCCTAAAGCCACTATTACGCAAAGCGTTTCGGGCATGATAAACTTAAATGACAAGCTTAATACTAATTGAGCATAATGAGTAGAATGAAAACAAGAAATGAAAACATAGATGAAAAAGCAGCACAAATACAATTATGTCGACAAACAGCGCTCTTTAAAGAAAAAAAACAGACATTGGTTGACAATAGAAGGGTAAGGTAGGTTACAGGGAATTTATTAGGTATAGCTTCGCTTTTAACTTAAACAAGAGGTACAGTCTTTAACATGGTTCGGTCATTCACATTCTGGGCCCCAGAGCTTTCTAGTTTGATTAAGTCGTACTCTAGGAATATCAAAACTGTATTTATTTCTGGTGTTGCTCATGGGTTCTGAACAACCTTCTATGAAGGGAGATCAGGATTGGCATTATAGTTTAGCGTTTTATATATGTATAATACACATGAGAGAGAGTGACTTAATACTAGAGATTTAAGTAGGGGTACCGAGTGATGTCTGGGGCCAGAATTGGATCTCAAGTATATCATTCGTAGCACAGGGACTCCCACTCCCTTTCCACAGCATGCCAAGGCCTTCAGAGGTTGTAATCTCTTCCGACATTGACCCAACAGTCTGTTCATCTCAGCTTCCAAACTCTCATGGGTATATCCAACATATATGCCTAAATATTTATATATATTAACTCTCTCTATATTTTTACAGTTAATTTTCAATACAATGGGGCTCCGACTTCTACATTCAAACTTAGTTTTGTTTTCGTTAACCACCAATCCCATATGGTGACACAGGTTTCCGAAATTGTCCAACACTGTTTGAACCTTTGAAATATCTTTGCCCTGAAACAAAATATCATCGGCATATATGATCGGAGTTACCCCATTTGAGTATCTCTCAGATGCTATCTTATTCATTAGTACATTAAACAGGGTGGGACTCAACACTCCTCCCTGAGGTGTGCCGAGTTCAAAAGACCTCACACCTGACATACAACCTTGATACCACACCTGAGCCTTCCTTTCGTAAAGATAATCCCCTATCCAGCGCAATAATCTCCCTTTAACACCAAGACTAGCTAATTCATATAAAATAACCTCTTTGTTGGCTTTATCAAAAGCTCCTTGTAAATCAATGAAAATTCTATAATAATCATTTTCATTAGCTAGACATTTAATAATACAATCAGAGGTACTTTTTCCTTTGAGGAACCCGAACAAATTACTAGACAGCTGATCACCTATTATATATAAAAGTCTATTTAAAATGATCCTCTCCATCATTTTACAAAAACACGAGGTTAAAGACACAGGTCTATACTCTCCATTGGCTTTAGGGATAGGGATGATCATAGCTTTTTTCCATTTACTGGGAATACTGCCCTCTTTATAACTAATATTAAAGAGGTCTAAAAGTGGGCTTTTCGTCATAATGGCAAGTTCATTAAGTATTTCATAAGTTACTCCATCCTCCCCAGGTGCGGTAGATTTCCCAACTTTAATCGCCGTTATTAGTTCTTCTCTGGTAATACCTGTGCAAGTGACATCACCACTGTTACCTGCTATAAGTATAAAATCCTTTCTTAGATCTTTCCAAGAATCTAATGACTCTCTCGTTACAGCGGGTAATGAACTAAGTTTGGCAGCTTCCGCCCATTTATTTACGAGCCCATTTGCAATTCCTTGCGGGTCTGGATGTGCAACAAAATTGTGCTTTTTACCCCTTATTTTATTTACGTCTTGCCAGATTTCCTTCAAGTTTCTGTTACTCCCAACTTTCTCTGCAAATTCCTGCCAATACTTGCTCCTAATTTCCTTTCTCTTCTCCCCACACAGCCTAGCAACTGCCAGTAAAGCATTCTTCCCTTCCTCAGTCCTACCATTCCTATTCCAATCCCTGTGAGCTCTCCTCATTGTTAATGTCCACCCCTTAAGCATCTTGTCATGTGTATAATTTTCTTTTCTGGGGGGATGCCTTTTTATACTAGATGGTTTCCGGTTCAATGTTGCATTAAATACATCTACCTCCTTAATTAAATCTTCATAAAATGCTTCTGCCGAAACTGGCTTATAAGTATCATACCAAGACTTAATATGGCCAACAAGACCCCTTAATTCTCCCTCATTAAACTTTAACCTTTTCCTCTGAAGGCAGGCATGCTTTTTATCTAGTTTAAGCTGTATTTGTAATGCAAAATGATCACTTAGCATTTCATCCACAGTAAGACAATTCCCCTCTATGCCCTCAGCATTTATTAAACAAGCATAATCTAATCTCCCTCCCCTCAAATGAGTAGGAGAGGGCTCGCCCAGCAGTTGAACATCTTCATGTTCCTGCAAAAACTGGTACCATCTGCAACCATTCCTATTTGCTTTACCCCTTGATCCTAAAGCTGGATGTCTGGCATTAAAATCCCCTACCACAAGTGTATCTTCAGAAAAGAAGGAATCTGGCAAGTATCTTAAATCAAGGGAGCTATCAGAGATGTATAGATTAATGAAATTTAACTCTCGGTCCTTTAATTGTATCCGCAAGCTAATACTTTCAATACCTCTATATCTCTGAGGGATTCCAGTTATCTCGGCAGGTATGGTACTTTTGACATAACATGAGACCCCCCTAGTTCCTCCATCAGCATATAAGTGAAAGCCTCTATAGCCATTTAGCCTCAGAATGCTACCATCCCTATCCCCAGTTTCCTGGAGTGCTACTATGTCAATATCCTCTCTAAGAGTATAATAGTGTACATCCACCGCTCTAGTTTTTAATCCATTAATGTTCCAAGATAATATTCTCAATTTACTTTCATCCATGATTAATAATAAAACTACCTTTGCCCTGTCCGTCACATTCCATGAGATACAAGAGTACCTTAGAAACTTCCTTCCAACACCGTAACATTTTTTCTTTCTCCTCACCTTCACAACTACTACTAACATCGAAGGTAATATTTTTCATATCTATTTTCTTTGTTATTTCTGTAACCCGTTTTACTTTAACCGTTCTTTCACCATTTGTCACAACAGGAGGTTGAACACCGCTAACACTACTAGAA